TGTTCGTGTGTGTTTGTGTGTGTGGCATGTGAATATAGTTTCACACGAACGCGAAAGCCGAAACGTAAACCGAAGTCGTCGCAAGCAACGCTTCAGCGATTCGCACTGAAATATATACGCGATATATATACATATAGATATATGTATATATATATGCCTCTACATGTGTATGTGTGTGTGTGTGTGTGCGTGGCACAACTTCAATGGCCGTTGCATTATTGCTGCAACGCAACTAACAACAACAACAACAACATCAGCAACAACAACAACAACAATGCACAACGCCTACAATTGGCAAACCGCCCAACAGCAAATGTCCAACCCCAATAAAAATTGAAATGTAAGAGTGTGTGCGTGTAGGTGTGTGTGTGTGTGTAGGTGTGTGTTTGCATTATGTCTAGAAATGTTCGAAATATTTGAGGTAGTGAGTCTTGTGACTCAGGAGCTGTGGTATCGAAAGGGTTGGGAATAGAATGAGGAGGAGTAGACGGAGGAGGAGTAGGTGGAGGAGGCAGCAGCCATACAACACGCAAAGGCAAGCACAGCAGAGCCTAGAAGTCAGAAGAGGCGTGGTGTGTGTGTGCGTGTGTGTGTGTAGGGTAGCTCAATTTCAAGTCAAGCAGGCAGAGGCAACTGGACACACACAATGCTAGAGCGAGAGAGGGGCACTTTAAAAAAGAAATAACAGAGTGTGTGTGTGAAAGAGAGAGATAGAGAGAGAGAGAGCGAGCAAGCGAGCTAGGCTCTTGGCCTGTGAACGCTCGAATGAGCGAGCGAGAGGGAGTGGGTGAGCCGGGTAGCAAGCGGTAGACGTAGGGCAGCTATGACCAGGCGGCAAGGGTTGCTCACACACACACACACAGCACACACACACGCACACACATGTGTGTGGAAACGAGATGGCATAGGTTAAACGAGCCTAGGCGCGGCAGCGTGGTATTTGAGCGTTCGGGGTCGGGGTCGGAGTCGGAGTCGGGGAGGGTTCGTAAGAATTCGATTGTGGCAGCCTAGTCACAATTTTTGAGGGTCGTCCAAATGCGGCTGCCATTTTAGTTTTGTCTGCCATAAGCAATAATCAACAACAACAACAACAACAACAAATAAATGTGGAAAATTTCAAGTCAAAAACTCACATAAGAATTAAGAAATGTTAAGTGCAACCAGGGAAAATAAAAGCCAGAAAACAAAATAATCAAGATATAAGAAAATTGTAGCTCAAGAATTTCTGCAAATGTTTAATGATAAATACATAAAAATTATATATGTATATATAGGGAGTTGCTTCCGTTCGTCCGAATATCTATTAAAATATTCAAATGCATTTCCTCTCAGCATGATTTATTGGTAGAAGGACCTACACAACTTGTCTGCATGGCTTAGACATAATCAGTTACCACTGAACTTAGCTAAATGCTACCACATCACATTTAGCAAATGTGTCTTCCTAATCCATTAATGGCAAAAACTTACTTTTAAATCAGAAGCTTTGGTCTAAGGAGTAATTCTTAATCATTCAGCATATAAACAATATTTATACCTGGGCCTTTGCAATGCTTGCGTTTGTTCGGAGCAATTCTCTACCCAGTTTAAAGACTCTTTTACAAGATTATCTTTATATGCGGCCTTTGTGCGGTCAATGTTAGAATATGCCTATAATATATTTGGTGCACACAAAGGCTGCAGTTTTTAAAATTTAATCTACATTGCCTTAACTTTCCTGACCCCTTACCTCCATACAGAGGTAGGTGTCAATTACTACGTTTGTCATCTCTGGAAGATAAAAGAGTGATATCAGCGTTGCTTTTTCTAAACAATTTAATTGTAGGAATAATTGCCGAGCAGGTCTTTGCGATACCATTTTCCGTTTTCTGTGAGGTCTCATCGAACTGCTTATGCAAATAACGAGCCTGTCAACAGATCATTAAAGCTTTATTTATAAAAGTCTTCCAACTCAAATGCACTTCGGTTCTTCTTCTCATGTTAAACATGAACTTAAGAAATTCTTTCTCTAAAACTAATTAGTTTTATATTTTCTTTAAATTCATATTTTCTGTTTAGTTAGTTATTTAATCTAATATTTTTTTTTTGGTTGATATATAAATAATGATAATAATAAAATAGGCTTTTAAAAATATTAAATCGAGCCAAATATTATTATTCAACAATAATCACTCATATTAAAATAAAGCATTTATGTCAGGTTTTACCTAAAAAGGATGTTTAATTCTTTAATAAAGCGAAAAGAGAAAGGAAAAAACAACGCTTATTCCTATAAAACGAAATGGCGACCGCCTATTATGGCTGTAATTTCAACCCTAACTGTTGACTTATTCAGTTAATTTATAAATTACGCACAAGCGGTTGAGAAAGAGAAGGCGAGAGAGAGAGAGAGCGACAAGCAGAGAGGAGGTAGACACACGCATGTAACACATAGACAGGCATGAGCAGCTAAGTCGGCGATCAACTGAGCAAAGGCGCTTTAAAAGCTCACCAATACACAGGCAACTAACAGTGCAAGTGTATGAGTGGAGCTTTCTTTACAGAGATAAAATTGAGGAGTGGGTGGAAAAAGGAGACAAATAGAAAACCACGAAGCAGTTAGGAGACAGAGCGGAAAAGAGAGGGAAATAAGAAGGAAAAGCGATGGTAAAAAGGAAAGGAAAGGGGAAACGAGAGAGAAAAGAGAATAGATTGAATGATAAAAACAAAACAAAATAAAGAGGAATCATAATAAGAGCTAAGCAGGAGAATAAGAAACCATGTCAAGCATTTCTTGGCCATGTGAAAAATGTTTCACTAGCGTAGAATTCTTCAAATATAAATTGGGGAAAACCCCTTTGCTCAGCAACTTGTTATACGAAAATGCAAGCAATAAATATAGCTTTCCAGATATATTGAACGACAAGGCCTGCAGTCAACAACTCAACGTTTCAATTGTATGTCGAGAAACTAGTTTCTAACTCTAACAAGCATTTTGGTCCATAAAGAATATTCGCACAGACTCTATGATTAACGAGTAGCGCATACATTAAGTCTCGCTAAGGTCTAAACCCGATCGAAGACAAACTCTCTATAATTACTTGACAAGCTATTAGAAAAAAATTAAGTTAAAAATAAATATAGAAAAAAAAAATGTATATAATCGGAATAATTTTGCATGTTTGATCGTTGGCTCAAGATTTATGCGAGCCAGTTGTGTGCATGCAACTACTAAACTACAGTAAATAGATGTACATATAGATAAAGATATATGTATATATATATATATACGTGACTAATGCTTGTTTGAATAGCTGAAAGTTAACGATTTGACGCCCGGTTTAGATGGCTAATGCTGCCTGCTACTGGCTAAATTTCGACTGCCCTTGGCAGCTAGCTCCCCTAGCCGCAGCCCCTGCCACCGCCTGTCCGCCCCCTAGCGCACCTGGTGTTAAGCTAATTGCCCGACTTCCTTTTGCTTGACACTGACATTGAATCTTGTTACGTTTGGGTTTGGGTTTGGGTTTCGGTTTTTGATTTTGATTTCGTTTCAGTTCGTTTCGCTTTGATGACGGAACACCTCAAAAGTGAGCGCCGCTCGTTGCATTTGTATTTGTTTAGTGGTCACTTCACACACACATACACACACACACACACACACACACACACACACACACGCGCACATGCACACAAATACATGCTTATGCATATGTATGCTGTATAAATATGCATGTTTGTGTGTATGTATCCATGTGTGTAGTTGTGCATGTTGCGCGCGCGTATTAAATTCAGCTTTAGCTACCTCGCTCTCTCTCGCTCTCGCGCTCTCTCTCTCTCTCTCTCTCTCTCTCTCCGTCTCTCTTCCGCCTTTGACTTGGAACTCCTCAAGCAATGTAGCCACCCTGTTGCGGTGCTTTTTTTTTCGCTTTTTTTTTATGATTATTGTGTTTTGTTGTTGTCGGTTTCTCTTAATATTTTATTTGTTATCCATTCTACGGCTTTGCTTTTCTTTCTTTGCCTTTGCTCGGCTGCATTCGCGCTGCGCACGCGCAAAACTTGTTAGAAGTTTTGTGTTCTATTCTTATACTATATACACATATGGCGAGGCGAGTTATCGCGCCAAGGGAGGCAGGGCTGGGGGCAGCTCAGAAAGTCGGGTAGCCGTCATCGTTGCGCAAATGTTCAAGGTTAACAACGCTCAGGCGCTCAAGCTCAAGTGTGTGCAGTTCGGTCCGTCGATAGATTTGCCAAATGGTTAATGGAACACGGACGCGACGAGACGCTACGCGACAGCCAGGCAAAGCCGGCAACTAGACAGACAAGTGGGTAGGTAGCATGCGATATATTCACATACATATATATACATATATGTACATATATACATGCAAACATACATATACATATATATAGGGTAGCGTGGGGTATGTGCTTGGCCTGGCGATCGTGTCGCAGCTGCCTGTTGAATGGAATTATCAGAGATTGAAACAAAAGTAGTCAACCGATTGGTAAGTGTTTCATTCCAGCATTCCTGATAGCCCAGTCGTCGGGAATGCCTCTCAAATCATGCCCAAGACTCTTCGCTTGGATTCTAGCATTTCTTCTAATGGAATTCACTTTTGCTTTGTGCTCTCAATATTAATGCTCAATGCGTCAATTTGGCATGCTGGCGGAATTATAAAACCAGCTGATGAAGAGCCTATGTATGTATGTATGTATGTATATGTAGCTCTGGCACAGTTGAACAATCTCTTTTATGTGTTTTATTTCAGTATTCCGAGCAGCAAAGTTGTTCGTTCGCTAGAATTCCATTTGTGTTTGGGCAGCCATAAAAAGAAAGTACAGTTAACAGCAGATTCTTTTGTGTTTCATTCCAGGCAGAGAAACAAATGGAATTGGTATGCTTTCAAACGGAGTCGGCTTACATATATCACCATCGATTCGCATGTAACTATTTGGAAATCATCCAAGGTGGCCAGGCATAGGAGATTGTCGGAACCTTTAAAATTTGTTCAGCTCGTTTTCATTTTATAAAAAGTGCTCAACTTAAGCACACGTTTTAATTTTCTTTTTTGCAACTTTTATTTTGATTATTTGGCAAAACTTATTGTAAAAATCGTAGCAAGTGATAGTTAAAAATCTCAACTTAATGCTCGGTGCAAACCAAATTGAATATCGCAGTGTATGACACAAAATAATCAACACCAACAAGGAGAAGAAGAGCAACAACTTCACAAAATGTTTTCCAGCGATGCCGAGTTGTTGCGCGATCTGGCCAAGACGCAGTCGTCACGGGGTCAATCGCCGCGTGAGAAGCGCGTCGGCCTCATAGCTGCAATGGGGCATTTCAGGCCAAAAAACGCCACGCCCATTCAGTTTTACAACTATGTGAGAGAGTTTTGCATAATGCACAATTGCAGCATCGACGAGGCCATGGAGAGGGCGCCCGACTCCTGGACGAAACTCAGCAAGGATCAAAGGCAGCTCTACAACTCTGTAAGTGCGATATCTTCTTTCCATTTCTCTTTCTGTTTCACTTCCGCTGTTCCCATTTACGACGTTCCAATTGTTTTGATTTAAATGGAGAGCAGTCGGAATACTCCAACGCCTTTTGTTTGTCGCCCACTCTCAGTATCTCGCCTCGTCTACCCCAAAATGAGCCAGTGGTGAACTAACTAACCTAACTCTTCCCAATTTCACTGTTCCTTAATCAATTGTTTGCAGCTGTTTGCAGTCCAACTGTTCCTATTTTAGTTCAATTCAATTGTCCATAATTCAGCTGTATTCAGTTCCGACTGTACCCGTTTCCATTGTTCCGGGCTTGATTAGTTGCGATGAGAGGGGAATTTACAGCATTTCCAATCCCACTGTTCCTAATTCCATTGTTCCACGCTTTGGTCATCCCATGTTCCACTGTTTCCTTCAACTGCCGATATATTCGACCATTTCCAATCCCATTATCCCTATTGCTAATCAATTATAATGTACCACATTGAGTGTTCCGGATTCTACTATCCACTATCTCGTCTTCCATTGTTTCAACTATTTCCTGCAACTGCTACACCTTTGCGTAACTACGATATATTCCACCATTTCCAATACCATTTTTTCTATTACAATTCATTTTAAATGATTCACATCGATAGTTCCAAGTCCCGTTATGCCACACTTTACTTATCCCATCTTCCATTGTTTCCATCAATATACAGGAGATACACGCTGCCCTGCCAATTCCTGTTCCCCGACACCTAATCTATCGCGCATTCCAAATGGAGCGCGCCGGCCGCTGGAAAATTAGCTCCGTGCCCGCCGCGAATGGTGCATCCACAAAGTACTCGGTGGAGTCGTATGCGCCGCCCGTTAAGCCCACCAAGATGCAGGCACGTTTGCGGGCGCAGCAGCCCCGCTATGACAACTTGGCCGAAACGTCGCCGTGCTGCCTGGAATCGCCGCGATCACCAAAGAAGCCGCAGGTGCGTACTTTGACGCCGCCCGAGCAACGCGCGCAACGGGCACAGCTGGAAAAGAGCACGTGCTCGCTGTCGCTCACACGGATACTGTCCGAGGTGAGCCTCAAGGGTATGCGCAGTGGCCGGGTCAAGGTGACGCCAGCGGGCAAATCTCCCGGCGAGGTCGCCACCGAGTCCAAGCAGCAGCCGCAGCCGCCGCCGCCGCCGAAAATGAAGCCGGCAGCAAAAAGCAAAAGCAAAAAACAGCTAAAAGTCACATCAGCTGTGAGAAAGAAGCAGATCGCCGTCAAGGTGAAGTCGGCAGCGAAGCAGCCATACCCCGGATTGTCCAAGACAGATGTCAAGCGAAAGTATCCAAATAATAAGAAATATAAGAAAAAATCCTAAGCGAAACTTGTAGCAGAACCAGTTGAACATATCCAGAATATGATTTATGTTTATTGTTTACCCCCACCCCTCCACACAAACACTTACCTCCCCCCACCCCCACCCACACGTACACACCACACAAATCTGGAATGCCTCACCAAAAAACAACCAATACCAAGGACCCTTGAGGACCCAACACTACACAAACACACTCACATACACACACGCACTCACACGCACTCACACGCACTCACACAAACACACTCACACAAACACTCTCACACACACAAACGAGTACACCTAACGAGCTGCACTTGAAAGCCATTAATATATATTTATATGATATATATATGCACGCACACACACAAGGACACATACAGTTCCACACACAGGTGTGTACACCAAAATCTCGTTCTAGTTATCGAACGATTGTCGTTGCTTATCGAATGTTTACACGATTGTTTTAATCACGAATGCACCGAATGTATCTCGAATGCTAAATGGTTAGAATGTTACTTGCTGCTGCCACTTAAATTGGATTCACATCTACTCGAAAATACTCGAAAACAAAAACCAATTAAATATAACTCATTGTATTCATTACACGTTTCCTAATATTGTTAAACCACAAAACGTTTATACGAGTTGCTTTTTAAAGCAAAGCATAAAATACAACGTGAAACACACTAAACATATATATGTAATATATTCAACAATTTTTTCTAGAAAAAAAGAAACGGGTGAAATGAAAAGAGTGGTTCTAATCGGGAGCTCCCGACTAGGGAATACCCTACACCCTCTTATTCCAACACCAAATGCAGTTCGCGCAACGCGCTCGTTTAAAGCAATAAAGATTAATTTAAAAAAAATAATAGTTTTACCGGTAGGGCTAGAACTCGCGACAGACCACACCACATGCTATGCCTCTACTCAACAGCCACACCAATAATTGGGTATTATTGAGAGAGAAAACCCTATTAAAATAGCAGCACATAAAACAATCGCAATTGCAATGCTGTTGATAGAATTTGAAGCAGACTCGCATGATTGTGTGTGTGTGTGTGTACATGTATACAGAAATTCTTGGAATTTGCGCCCCATCCAATTGCGCAGTAAAACATAACTTTGGGTTTTTATATATCTTATTGTACCATAGATTATTTGTGTATTCTCAGAAAGTCAATTGCATTAAAGTGGTGGCCAATATAAGTTGGGTTATTAACTGGATTTATATACATATACATACATATAATATATTCTGGAAGCAACGTTACAAGTTTGGTGACTGCAGCTCTAAATATTTACCCAATTGCTCAAAACTGGATGGCGATATCGATTTTTATCGATTACTTGAAAACGGAGTTAGTAAAGAGCTAAGAGGATCTACAGATAAAAATTCAAGTCTCTAGCTCTTATAGGTGATGATATCATTGCGTTCATACATACGGACAGATGTTGATCAAGTATATATATACTTTATGGGATCGGAGGTGCTTCCGTCTGCCTGTTACATTTACATTTGCACAAAAACACTATACCCTTTTTTTTTACCCATTTTCAATGGGTTCAGTGTATAAAAAGCTCGCCAACTATTCGTGAGCAGCTGTGAGAGAGTGTTGGAAATGTCCGAAAGGGTGTGTCACATTAGATAAAGTTTATTTCGATAACGATAACTTCCATTTACCCTCCCTTTCAAATCGATGCGTATCGAGAAATCTCGTTTTTCTCCATTTCACAGTTTGTATCTACTTGGTTAAATTTTATAAATTTCACAATTCCGCCTAATAGAAAGTGTTGGAAAAAGTGAAATAAAGGTGAATCCCAGTCTGCAGACATTTCTATTTTTTTGGCATTCGTTTTTTTGACAGACGCATATAAAATCAAAGATTATGATTATGTATATACAGTACAAATTTCAGTTCGTTTTGATCGTCAATTCAGAATAAGCATGAAATTATTTTGAATTGAAAGAAACAAAAGCTTTAGGTCACGTTGCTAGAACAGGTAGCCAAATAGAAAAGATTTTTGAAAAACCCACAAAACGCTTTTTGGGCAATTTTTTTATTTGCTTAATTTCTTTATAAGCTGCTCGGTCAAACTAGATGCCTGACGTGTGTATCTACATGCCCAAACGTATGCATGTATCTAGAAGATACATATCTGTGCGTGTATCTCACAGTGTGTGTGGCTGTGGCTGTGGCTGTACTTATGTATCTGTGCCATGATGTTCGCCAGCATTTGATGAACCGTTATTTAAGCAGCGCACACCATAGGCAATAAAACATTTGCGTTGTTGTTCTATAGACAACTAACAACCAACAACAACAACAACAACACAAAAAGATAAATGAAATCAGCAAAAAGCCAGCAGGAAAAAAAATTCGCGCAAAAAATTTAATTTTTTTCGTTGCCTTTTTGTGTTTTTGCGTTTGTTGTTGTTGTTGTTGTTATTTTTGCCAATCGGCACGCAGTTGCCAGTTGAGCATTTGACCTAAATACGCTGCCGGCCAGTTGTTGTTGTTGTTGTTGTTGTTGTTGTTGTTGTAGTTCTCAATAGGCTAAACTTAACGCGCTTTTGTGCGTCGCCATAAAAGACAAAAAAAAAAAAGAAGGCAGCGCAAAAAATAAAATGGCAAATAAAAAGAATTCGCTGTTAGATTTTTGTTGTTGCGGCTGCTAATTTCGCAAAAAAAAAAAAGAAGAAACGAAAAAAAAAAACAATTCTATTCCGCATTCGGCCGAAAAAGCAGGCATGAAATGAACAACTGTACACAGAAACGAAAAAAAAAAAAAGCGAAAAGTCACTGTCGACGCTGACGGCGACGTGAACGCCGACGCCTGCGCAGCCCACGACAACGCTTTGGCTCTTGTTCTTCTGCTTTAGCTGCTGCTGCGGCTGCTTCTTCTTGGGTGCTTGCTAAATTTATAGCCGCTTACGCATGACGCCAAAAAGCAGCTGACAAAAGCTCTCACACACACTAGCACACTTGCGCGCGCACACACATGAAAGCTGCCTGCTGTGGCTTTGCTGCTGCGTGCAGCGACGCAGCGTCGTCATTTCGACAGCGCCATTTGACTTCTAACTGCTTTTATAAACAGGCACCATAGGCACACACACACAAGTACATAAGCAGGGAGACACACACACACACACACACACACACACACGTAGGCGCTAACTAGGCGACCAACTAAACTTAACTAGCGCCCTCTGCTGACAGCGCTGCTTTGTGTTGTCAAGCTGCAAAGGCGCAGCAACGAGCAGCGACGATTACGCAATGCGTTCGTTGCTTCACACACACACACACACACACACAAATACATACAGAGGCACAGCTAAGAGCAGCAGCAGCAGCAACAACAACAGCACTTTGTTTCGTTTCCGCGATCGACGCGCTTGCAAAAACAAAAACAAAGACAAAAAAAAAATTCGCAAATAGCAGAAGTTGCGATGCGTGCGACCCAATTGGAAATTTGACATACAAAGAGAATATGCGAAAGATCGAGAGAGAAAGAGAGGGACAGTGCAGTTTAAGATGTACTATGTAAGTTGTGTATATTAGAATTGTAAGGCATGTATGCATGCATATACATATGTGTGCATGTGTGGGAATTAGCTGGAATTACAAGTTTTATAATTTATATAATCGCATAAATACATACATATATTAAAACATAAACTACTTGGCATAGAATTAGCTTTACTTTTAAGAAAAATGTCAGTTTCTATGAAGTCTAGAAATGCATACATACATACATACATACACATATATATAGCATTTATATTTTTATATATGCACTTTAATACACAAAAACTACTCTTTGATAAATAAAAAATAATATATGTACATATGTAAAATATTATTTGAAAATTAATTGAAAATTAAATAAAAATATTGAATATGTTTTGTTCTGATTTATAGTGAATACGTTAAACAAAGAAGATATATCCTAAAAGAGGAACTAGTTTAAATTTCAACAAAAATGTGATAAATTTCTAATAAAAGACAAATGACACGGTGACAGTTATATACTTATATATAGATATCGCAAAGCAATTCAATGGATTTGAACTTATGAGCTTCATATTTTTGCAAAAGTTCTATGGGCACATACATGTTTCAAAAATGTCTTTAGTCTGCTGTTTCTTCATTTTATAGAGTATTTAAGATTCGTTATTTTTTTACGCCATTTCGACATTTGTACATTTTCTTTAATTTATATTTTGGGCAACTGCGAAATATTTGCTGCAGTCCACCTTTTCTTCATTAGGCATAGAGCATTTGAGGTTCGTTCATTTTGCTGGATTTTTTCTTCAGTTTTTTCTTCTGCGATCTCTTCACCCCGTTCGGTCTGTCAAACGTTGCCCAACCGAAAAGAGAAATTTTGCAGTTGTTTGTGTGTCTGACCTTTGGCTTGACCGTGGGCGTGAGTTGTGCGAAAATAAAAGACCGCAGCAAATAAAAAAATATATGTATATATGTGCGTATATATAGGTAAAAAAAAAAAGAAGTAAAAAAAAAATAGTTGCGAAAATGTTTCTAGCGGGTCGCTAGTCGCTTGAAATTCAATGCTATCTACGCACACACACACACACACACACACTCACACGCACACGCACACGCACACGCACGCACACTCGCGCAATGTGCGCAAATTGGTTCAGTAGGTGGCCGTATACGTGTGTGTGTGTGTGTGTGTGTGTGTCTGCTGCTGCTGTTGTTGTTGTTGCCAGCTGGCGCGGCGTCATTTAAATTTAGCAGCAAGCAGCGAGCGGGCAGCAGAGAGCGAAGAGCGGAGAGCGCGCGAAGGGAGAGCGGGTAGCGGGTAGCGGGGCTGCGCCTTCAGCCGGCAAAATGAAACATTGAAAATCATAAAGAGAACAACAACAGCGAATTTCGCACATATCTGTCCTTGACACACATTGCGTATACGCAATTTACGCGTTGCGTGTGAGTGCGTACGCATTAGCGTGTGTGCGTGTGTGCGTGTGTGCGTGTGCGCGTGTGTGTGACCCACTTACGTATCTGACAGATACAGATAACAACATATGTTTTCAACAGTAAATTCGCAAATGCAAAACTAGTCGCGATATCAGCAGCAGCTGCTTAGCTCAGCCTCTCGCTCGCACCCGCACCGCTGAAGCGGAAGTGTTGCTCGGTTGGCTCAGGAGGGAGGGAGGGTCCCAGGGCGGGTCGTTTGGCATCTCTATCTGCTGCATTATTGGCATTGATTAATTGTGGCGCTGCGCGGCCGGTTCAATAGGTGCGACATAAGACAAATTGCACGAGTGCATCCAAAATAAAAAATGCCAATAAATTTTGGACAGCTGCGAAAAATGGCCATCAAAAATAGTTGGCTCAAATGTTGGCCAAAGATCATAGACAAAGATCAACTAAAACACTCGCAATAGCAACTCTTGGGATACACAAAATCTCAATTAATTAGCTATTTAGGTATTTCGTATATATTTATTATAATAATACTATAATAATGCACTATTTCAGATCCATTGTGAGAAATGTTGAAAGGCCCGTCGAAGCGCAAAGATTCTTTAGGCAAACGCAAATAACAAGTTATTAATAAAATGTTGACTATATTTAAATATTTTAGAGTGAACCCAAACTTTGTGTTTCCATTTTAAGATTTTACGATTTTGCATATTTATATACATACATATATATATATATCATTA